GCAAATTCAGCTACTTGCTAAAATGTATTTATCTGACCCCAAGTTCATACTACTGTAGCTGTCACAATCATTCATGAACTTGCAGAGCAGTGAAATTTTTGAGTAGCTTGAATAAATGATGTCCTCCCTCCTTGTTTCAGCTCCTATGCTATAAACAGTATTTTTTTTCTGTGATTGGAGCCAAGGTTTTTCCCTATCTGCTTTTTGTTGGTGTGGTGGTTTGAATGAAAATGACCCCCATAGGCTCCAAGTGTTTGGACATTTTGTCCCCAGTGGTGGCACTGTTTTGGGAGGTCTTAGAAGGTGTGGCTATCCTGGAGGAAGCATGTCACTGGGGATGGGCTTAGAGAGTTCTTAAGCCTTGCTTTATCTCTAGTCGCTCTCTTGCTTCCTGTGCCTGCTTGATGATGTGAGAGCTTAACTTCTGCTGCTTCTGCTCCAGCCACCTCCAGCCACCATGCCTCCCCACCATGATGGACTGTAATTCCCCTGGAACCATAAGCTCAAATAAACTCTTCCTTTCATAAGTTGTTTTGGTCAGTGTTTCTCTCACAGCAATAGAAAAGTGAATAGTTGGTGACTTCACTGTTTAAGTTGATCCCCAAACAGTACTAATGTGTATACTGGTGTTCCTAAGTGCAGGAAAGCTGTAATGTCTTTTAGAGAGACTTTATTCAGGAAGAAGTTAATACTGTTATTGGTCAAATTCAGTATAAATGAATTAAGGATGTAGATTAAATAAAGTGTATTTAAACAAAAGCAAATATAAACTCACAGTAAGACCTTGTATCAAAAAAAAAATTTTTTGTTATCAGAAACTAACCTTGTATTTTTCTGTGAGAAGCATTCACTACTTGAGGCAGTTTTACATAAGCTAATATTACTGTTGGTCAGTTGCAAGCCCATCCATATTCAAGGGAAAGAGATATAGATATACCCCCCACCCTCCCCCATCCCCCCACTCTCAATGGGAAGATCATCAAAGATTTGCAACCATTTCTGTGAATCACCACAGACTTCTTGCAAATATTAAAATTCACAGGTGATCTTTCCTTAAACCAAACCCTTCTTTAAGTTGTTCTCTTTTGTCAAGTATTGCCATTGCTATTTATTCTTTCTTTCTTTTTATGGTGCAAAGGATTAAATCTAGGGCTTTGTGTGTATTAGGCAAGTAATCTACCACTGAGCTACAATCCCCCAGCCCAATAATATTTCTGTTAAGTGTAGTGATGTGCAACTGTAATAGCAATACTAGGAGGCTGAAACAGAAGGATCAGGGACAGTAAGATGCTGTCTCTAAATAAATAAGTAAATACCATTATTTCTCACTTGTAGACTTGAAAACTGAATTTTCTTTTCTTCTTCCATTCATATCCATTCACACCTTTAGTTTCCTTTTTTGTTTCTTGGATGTCTTTCTTGTTGTTTCTTCAATAGGTAATTTATTGAGATGGGGTTTTTCCTTTTTATATAACTTATCTAATTAAATTATTCCTTTTGTAATTACCACAAAAAAGCAAGACAGAAAATTTTATTTATATGTTGGGACCAAAATACAAATGAACAGATAGTCTGTTGTCACTACAAACTCCGTATTTTCAGCCTTGACTCCTTATATTAGCACCCATCTCTGCTCACTGGTCTCTTCCAGTTTATCATGTGCTGTGCCATATATGATCATGGGTAGAGGCATTTTAATCTGTACATTCATCAAATTCTGAAGGGGCATAGGGCTCCCCCAGATCCTCCCACAGTTTGACAACCCCATGGACCACCCTCATGTTAAGAGACTTGGCACACTGTGGCTAAGGTTTATTACAGTGAAAGGGCACACTATAGGATCAACAAGGAGAAAGGTCCAAGTAAAAACCTGGAAAAATCCATGCACAGGCTTCCTTATGCACTTGTACTGAGTAACACCAAGCATGTACCTTTCTGTAATATGTGTAGTGGTGTAGTGTTTCTGCCCAGAAAAAAACAAATAAAAATGTTAAGAGACTCAGCATAGTACTTATATGAAAGGCTGTTCACTTGGGCATGCTGCCTCCACAGGCACTGCATACACATGGTGCATTTACATGCCTACAGGTAAAACATACAAATAAAATAAAAGTAAATCTTTAAAAAAAAGAATTCTTGTGTGTATCCCATTTAACCCTAAGCATCCCTTAATCATAGCATGTACCTCATTATGTTATGGCTGTCTCTGATGTATGCTGTGTGTGTTATTAAGGGATGAACTCAAGGCCTTCTGCGTGCTAAGCATATGTCCTACCTGCTAAGCCACACCCACAATTCCTAGATGAAGATCCCTACTTGAAAGCTGGAACACATGGAGTGTAGTGCCTACCACTCTCTCATAAGCATTAACTAAAAGTCTATAGCAGCCAGGTCAATGGCAAATGTCCATAATCCCTCAACACTGGCGGTTGTGACAAGAGGATCTTAAAGGCCAGCCTGGGCTATATATAGAGACCCTATTTCAAAACCTTTTTGTTTTTTGATTTTTTTGTGACAGGATCTCATATAGCCAAGCCTAGCCTTGAACTCATTTTGTAGAGAAGGATGACCTTGAACTCCTGATACTTTTGCCTCTTCTTCAAGTGCTGGGATTACAGGTGTACACCACAATGACTGGCCAGTAATTTCTGTGTATTTCTTCTTTTTTTTTATGTGTATGTGTATATTGCCTGCATGTAGGTAAGTGTACCTGCATCATGCAATCCCCACAGAGGACAGAAGAGGCTGTTGGATCCCCTGGAACTGGAGTTACTGACAATTGTTAGCTGCTATGTGGGTGCTGGGATTCGAACCTGGGTCTTCTGCAAGAACAGCCAGTGTGTTCTTAACCACTGAGCCATCTCTCCAGCCCCAAGACATAGCTTTTATTGACAGACTCAGACAGTCCTAATCTGCTTTCACTCCAGTCTTCCCTCTGCTGGGAGTTCCTGGCTTGCCCCAGGAGAGAAGAATGTGTCCTGGGCAGGGATAGCAGACAGACAGCGAAAAATACATAGGTGGGACCTAAGGAGGTTCAGGGAGAGAAAGTGGGGCTGCTAGGACACCCAGATAAAATGTCCATCTGGGCAGAATGAGTCTGTTACCCCACCGTTGCTAGAATGGGCAGGTTCTGGAGGGAGGAACTTTCCCTAGCGGCTCCTACTGTGCCCTTCGTGCCATCATCATCTCTCGGATGTTGTCCTCAGCTTCCTTAAAGCTCTGCTCCAGGGAGGACTTTCTCTGCTCTAGTTCTTTAATTTTTTCTTCTACTGTTTTCCGTTTCTCTTATAGCTGATTGTGAATTTCTTCCTTGAATTGTAGAATAAATATTCTTCATACAAGTTAGTCTCATCTACCAAAGTCATAATCTCTGTGTCTAAGATATTCGTGCTTTTTCGTTCTGTTTAGCTGTTCAGTCTGTATGTGTGCAAGCCTCACCTTCTGCTGAGTGTCAATAACTTTGGTTTGAAGTTCTTTTGAGGCCTTCTTCAACTGTAGATCCATGGGGGCCGCCATCTTGGAGCACTCTTCTGCGACTCGTGTATTTATTTCTTGTAGCCCCGGCTGACCTCAAACTTGCAGTCTTCCTGCCTCAGCCTCCCAAATGCTAGACGTACAGGTGTATACCACCACATCCAGAGTTAAAACTATTTTTGTTTCACTCGCCACTTTGGATTTTTTGTTGTTTGTTTTTTGGGTGGGTAGTTCATGCCAAATTTATTCTTTCACAATTTCATGCATATTTATAATACACTTTGATCACAAGCTAGCCTCTCATCTACCAGCCCCCCACCACTAAACTCCTTTTTCACAAAAATTCCCTCTCCTACTTTCATGTCTGGAGGTACTGTATTTAGTTAGGGTTGCTTTCCTGAGCATCAGTAAGGGGTTATTTACCTGAGCAAGTGCAGCAGCTATACCATTGAAAAATATGATGCTCCTGGCCCAGCAACCTTTAACTGCTGATAGCTCCTCAGTGAGGAGTAGGGTTTCATGAGTGCCTCCCTCATCCATGGTGAAATGTTGATGGGTCCAGTCTTGAGCAGGTCATGTACAGGTAACCACTGCTGCTCTGAGCTACTCTTGAGTTCATGAGTGTAACAGCCATGCCATTTCCAGAAGACATTTCACAGTGTCCTTTCTCATCCTCTGGCTTTTACATTATTTCTGCACCCTCTTTCTATATGTCCCTGAGCCTTACAAGGTGTTCCATTTAGGACTGAGCACTTTGCAATCACCTATTCTAAACACTTGGATCAGCTGTGGGTCTCTGCCTTAACTATTACCCCCTATAAACAAGCTTCTCTGACCAAGGGCTGAGGATATCACTAATCTATGGGTATAAACATATGTAAAAGGCAGTTTGACACCATGTCCACTTATCAGAACAGCAGTAGTAGTATCCCTTCTTGGGCCTGTGACCTCTGCAGGCAGGGTTTGCTATATATCCCAGGCTGGCCTGGAATTCACAGTACCCCCCACCTCATCCTCCCAAGTACTAAGATTACCAGTATTTGCCATTTACTCCTGGCTGACTTTTTCTCTTTTAATGACTTTGTATTGTTTGTATTTCAATACTAATAATAATTAGTGCATATGTAGTTATGATCTTCCTACTAGATCTGAATCTGAGTTTTGTTTTGTTTAGAGGGGGTGTTTGGTTTTGGCATTTTTCTTTTTTTTTTTTCTTTTTTTTTCTGGTCTTTGAGACAGGGTCTCCCTGTAGCCCCAGCTGTCCTGGAACTGGCTATGTGGACCAGGGTGGCCTTGAACTCACAGAGATCTGCCTGCCTCTCTGTGCTGGGACTAAAGGTATGCACCACTACAACCAGCTTGGTGTTTCGTTTTAGCCAGGATTTCTCTATGTAGTCCAGACTTGCTTGGAATGTGCTGTGTAGCCTTGAATTAGCAACACTCCATCCCTCAGCTCTTTGCGTGCTGGAATTGCAAGTGTGTGCCACCACACCAGATGCTAACTCTAAACCTTTTTTCTGTGACAGAATGCAGACTCATCAGAGCGGATAATTACTCCCATGAGATGGGGCCTAGTGCCATCGTGGTTCAAAGAAAGTGATCCTTCTAAGCTGCAGTTCAACACTACCAATTGTCGTAGTGACACCATAATGGAGAAGCAGTCATTCAAGGTAGGTAGCAGGTTTAGGGAAAAACCAGTAGTCTTTCTGGCTTTTTTTTTTTTGAGACAGGGTCTCTCACTAGGTAGCCTTGGCTGCTTGGAATTCACTATGTAGATCAGACTGGGTCTTGAACCTGCTTCTGCTTCCCAAGTGCTGTGACTAAACAGATTCAACACTATGCTCCACTGTGTTGTTTTCTTTCTAATAGCTGTTTAGTGTCTTATGTACTGGAGAAAGTTTCAAATTCCCAGTTGTTAATGTTGAGTTCTGTTCTGTTTATTGCTGTGTGACAGACCAACCATGCCTAAACTTTGTGCTTTAAAACAAAACAGTAAGTAGGGTGTGGTGAACAACTTTAATACCAGTACTTGGAAGGCAGAGGCAGGCAGATCCCTGTGAAATAAGGCCAACTTAGTTTACATAGTGAGTTCCAGGCCAGTTGGGGTTATAGGATGACCCTGTCTCAAAAAACAAAAACCAAAACCAAATAACCTCATATACTTTGAACTAATGTGCCTAACTGGATAGTTTTAGTTTTCACTTGGAAGTCTGATGTACTTACCAGGCAGTAGCTGAAGATGAATATCCAAGGTAGCTTCCTCATCCATAGCTGTTACTTTGGCTGGTATGACTAGGACACCTGGAAGCCTTTCTACATTCCTAGATAGCCCTGTATGGATACCCAAGCTTCTGACAGGGAACCTCACTTACTATAGAGCCCATGATTCAAGAAGGCAGAACAGAAGCTGCAAAGCTTTGTGACCTAGCCTTGTTAGCCATACAGCATTGCTTGTGATATATTCTTTTTGTCATTCAGAGCCAGTCCAAATCAGTACAGGAATGGATGAGATAGTATGTGGATACTGTGAAGCAGAGTCCACTGGGAGCAAACTTTGGAGACTAGTTCTTATGTATCAGACATTTCTGGGGAAATGCCACACACACATAGGTCTACTCACCTCAGAAAGGAAACCCATGACAGACCAAGGTAATGATTGCTGTAGACAACTTGATAAACCAGTGAGGTTTTTATTGGGGTTACTAACAGAAGTATCAGTAAGGAGACACTTAAAAGAGCAGGGATGACTCAAAAGCAGCTGAAACACTGAAAACCCACCACAGCATGGGTGATGACTCCATAAAACCCTGGAGCTCTCTGCAGTGTGCAGACCACTTGACAGGTCTAAAAGATTTTCTCTCTGCTGCCTGGCTGGTCAGAGTTTCCTCCCCCAGCAGTTTACTCCTCCTGTAAAGTTGGGGGAGGAGCCTTATAGCATCTTGCAGGTTTCTACTTTCCTGGGCATTTGAAGTTTTGATAAGCTCTGGAATCCCAGGATCTCCTTCCCCACCACCGCCTTTTGGAGGGAATGTTTCAGTTTGGAGGGAACTGCTGTATAACAGCAGCTGCCACATGTACCTGTTTAGTATGAAAGTGCTTGTTGCTTTTATGCACATTATTTAATCTTTTCAACATCTTTTAAACTCAGTGGTGACTTTATACATAAGAAAAGTAAGGGGCTGGTGAGATGGTCAGTAAGTTAAAGGTACTTGTCACAAGTCCTGAGGACCTGATTTTGATCCCTAGGGCCCACATAGTGGAAGGAGAAAACTGACTCCCACAAGTTGTCCTTTGACCACCAACACATACGTTGTGGCACACACATACACACACAAATAATAAATGTGGGTTTTTTGGGGGTGCAGGGGTCTTACTGAGACAGAGTCTCCCTGTAGCCCCAACTGGCCTGGAACTTGCTTTATAGACCAGGCTTGTCTTGCACTCACAGAGATCCACCTGCCTCTGCCTCCCCAGTGCTGGTACTAAAGGTGTGTACCACCACACCTGGCTATAAATGTGACTTTTTAAATGATTAAATGGGATACAGAGAAATTAATTCCACTAGAGCAGAGTACATAACTCAGTGGTAGAGCACTTCCCTGGGTCCAGTCATCATTCAGCACTGCCAAAAAAAAAGATAATTCCTTAGAGGATTAGACCTGAGTGTTTTGGTCTTTTGTTTTCTGGAGGGTTTTTATGTGTTTTGTATGGTACTGGAGATGGAATCCTGGGCCTTGTACATGTGAGGCAAGCCCTCTGCCACCAAAGTACAGCTCTGGACCTGAGAGTCCATATAATGGAATCCTGTCACTCTGACCATATCTTGCACATTTTTTCTCAGGTTCCTCTAGGAAAAGGAAGGCGCTGTGTGGTGTTAGCAGATGGATTCTACGAGTGGCAGCGGTGTCAGGGAACAAGCCAAAGGCAGCCATACTTCATCTATTTTCCTCAAATCAAGACAGAGAAGGTATCTGCAGCTACATGAACATACTGTTGGAAAAGAGAGATACAAGTCAAGGTCATGCACCACATAATGATGTTTCTGTAAACAGTAGGCCACATATATGACAATGGGTATACACATAGCTATACCACCTAGGTATTTGTAGTGCACTCTGGAATTTACATACAACAAAACTGCCTAATGCTGCATTTCTCAGAACTACCTTTATCTAAGGATTTCCAACAATGATAACTCTTATAAAAAGGATCAAAGCAGGGGCTGGAGAGATGGCTTAGTGGTTAAGAGCACTGGTTGCTCTTGCAGAAGTCCTGGGTTTGATTCCCATCACCTACATGGCAGCTAGCAACTGTCCTAACTCCAGTTCCAGAGGATCCCACTTGACATGGTATACTTACATACATGGAAGCAGTACACTCATACACATAAAATAAAATATTTTAAAAAATAATAGCCATTCTTGCTAGGGTATAGTGATGTCTCTAGTCTTAATTTCCATTTCCCTGGTGACTAGGGATGTTGAATACTTTTTAAAATGTTTGCTGGCCATTTGTATTTATTTTTCTGAAAACTGTATGTTCAATTCATTGGCCCATTTGTTGACTGGTAATTTTATTTCCTTGGTATTTCATTTTGCAGTTCTCTGTATATTCTGGATATTATCCCCTTATCTGACGTGTAGGTAAAGATTTTCTCCCATTCTATGGGATGTCTCTTTGAGTTCAAAGCCATCCTGGTCTATATAGGGAGTTCCAGGCCAGCCACAGCTACATTGTGAGACCCTGTCTTGAAAAACAAACAGCAGCAACATACGTGTGTGTGCGTGTGTGTGTGCGCGCTAGGCCTAGTGGCACAGGCCTATAATAATCCCAGATACTTAGGAGTCTGAGACAGAATGATTAAAAGTTCAAGACCATTGTAGGCAATTTAGTGAGACCCTGTCTCAAAACACTTAAAAAGTGGGCTGATAATATAGCTCAGTAAACACTTGCTTAGCATGAACAAAGCCATAGGGTCTATCCGCTGTACCTCAAAATAATACTGGTTTTGCCAGGTGTGGTAGCGCATGCCTTTAATCCCAGCACTTGGAAGGCAGAGGCAGGTGGATCTTTTTGAGTTTGAGGCCAGCCTGGTCTACATAGTGAGTTCCAGGACAGCTGGGACGACAAGGAGACCCTGTCTCAAAAAAAGACAAAAAAAAAATAATAATAATAATAGTAATACTGGTTTTGGTATGGGAATGTTGTTCAGTGGTAGTGCACTTGCCTAATGTGTCAGGCCCTGGATCCCAGCACTGCAAATAATTAACTAATTAATTAAAGATTTTTAAAGATTTCTTATTTTTAATTATGTGTGTGTACACACATGTTTGTATGTATGCATGTTTGCATGCGTGAGTCTGTGCACATGAGTGCAGGTGTGTTTGGAGGTCAGAGGTGTTGAATCCCCTGGAGCTGGAGTTCATGCAGTAGTGAGTCACTGATTATGGGTTCTGGAACCAAACGCAGGTCCTCTGCAAGTGCAGTATGAGCTCTTAACTGCTGAGCCATCTCTCCATTCCCCAATTAAAAAGGTTTTAGTGGTTGTTCTGCTCTTTGCAATATACATTTTAAATTAATAATATTTATTTTCAAATAATGTACCTAATATATACTGCAAAAACCTCAACAGTAAGGTCCCAATTCTTCCCATATTTTAGGCTGTTGTTTTGCTTTTAAAGTATGCTATAAACTGGGGCTGGAGAGATGGTTCAGCAGTTAAGAGCGCTGACTGCTCTTGCAGAGGACCCAGGTTCGATTCCCATCACCCACATGGCGGCTACAAACCATCCTTAGCTCCAATTCCAGGGGAATCCAAAGCCCTCTTCTGACTTCCACAGCATTGCATGACACGGGTGCACTCACATACATGCAGGCAATACACTCATACACATAAAATAAAAATAATAAAAATTATTTTTTAAAAAAGTATGCTATAGCCGGGCATGGTGGCACATGCCTTTAATCCCAGCACTCAGGAGGCAGAGGCAGGCGGATCTCTGTGAGTTCAAGGCTAGCCTGGTCTACATAGTGAGTTCCAGGACAGCTAGGGCTACAGGGAGACCCTGTCTCAAAAAGACCAAAAAAAAAAAAAAAAAAAGTATGCTATAAACGACCACACACCTTTAACCCCAGCAGTTGGGAGTCAGAGGCTGGTGACTTTCTGTTAGTTTAATGTTGGCCTGGTCTATACAGTATATTCCAAGCCAGCTGGGACTACAAGGAGGCCTTGTCTTAAAAAGGGCAGGGGGAGATGGAGAGATGGCTCAGTGGTTAAGAGCACTTGCAGAGGAACCAGGTTTGGTTCCCAGCACCCACATGGCAGCCATAACTCCAGTTCCAGTGGATCCAGCGCCCTTTTCTGGCCTCTGAGGACATTGTGTGACACAGTTGCATTTACATACATGTAGGCAAAACATTCATACGCATAAAAATTAAAACATAAACCTTAAAAAGCAAAAAGTTTGCCAGGTATGGTGGCGCACACCTTTAATCCCAGCACTTGGGAGGTAGAGGCAGTCAGATCTTTGTGAGTTCCAGGCCAGATGGGCTACAGGGAGACCCTGTCTCAAAAAGACAAAAAAAATATTTTTTTGTATTATGTTCCTATGTGTGTGTGTGTGTGTGTGTGTCTGTGTGTCTGTGTGTCTGTGTGTCTGTGTGTCTGTGCATGTTGAGTGCAGATGCCTGCAGAGACCAGAGCTGGTGGAGCTCCCTGGAGTTAGAGTTACAGGCAGTTAGTAGACCTCCTGTTGTGGGTTCTGGGAATCAAACTTGGGTCCTCTGCAAAAGCAGTATGTACTTTTAACAGCTGAGCCATCTCTCCAGCTCCCTTCACTTTTTAAATATATTATTTTATATATTTGGATGTGTGTTAGTGTATGGGGTGTGGGTGTGGGTGTGTATGGGTGTATGGGTATATGGGTATGTGTACCTGCGAAGGCTGGAGGAGGACACTGGTGTCCTGGTCTATTACTCTTTTTATTCCTTGAGACAGGGTCTTTCACTGAAACTGCACTAGCAGCCAGCGAGCCCCAGAGATCCAGGTGTGTAGGATCATGCCCAGCTTTTTATGTGGGTTCTGGGGATTTGAACTCAGGTGCTCATGCTTGAGCAGCAACTGCTTTTACCTACTGAGCCATCTCACCAGCCCCTAGATCCAAGTTTCTATCAGTATTACAGTTTTCTTGCCTGAAGAACCTCCTTGAATATTTCTTGTAATGCCAGTCTGTCGTTAGTGAAGTCTGGTTTTGTCTGAAAAAGCATTTATATATATTATAGATGTGTTAGATGTTCAATACTATCCAATAGTTCTTAGATGATCTCTTCTGTATTTTTTTCTGTGTTTTGGTTTGGATAATGTTCACTGGTTTTTTGTTTTTTTATCTCTGTTAAAATTCCTTATCTGTTTCAGTATGTTGTCCAAGTTTTCCATAAGAGCCTTTAACATTTTAACTAAACCCTCTGACAGTTTCCTCATCTGAAATGTACAATCCTGTCTTAAGTCTGGTTCTGCTCATTTCTCCTGGCAGTAGATTCTTTTTTGTAGCCTCTTGGTGTGTCTTACAATTTTTTTTTATTGTTGTTAGACTCAATATATACTGTAGAGACTGAGAAAAATAATACCTATTTTTGGGAATTCTTCTATTAGGCCTTTAAATATGAAGTCAAGTCACTCTCATCAGAAACGCCATGGCTTTGAGTTTTGCTGTTGATGTTACCTTTGTTCAGCGCAGACTTTTATTTTCTTTTGTGTTTCCTTGTGCTTTGGGTTAGGGCTGACTTACCAAAGCATTTTCCCAGTAGCTAAGCTCTCCTTAGCCACAGGCCTTTCCTGGGCTATATCTTGAAAGGCTTGAAAGCCAAGTGAAAGTGTAAATTCTGAAAGTATTAAGGAGACATAAATCTACAGTTTCTGTAGGTATTTTCCATGAAGCCTCTTTGTGATGATAGTGGGTCAGAAAGGGTCAAAACAGACTGGGCTTATTTGCTTCTAAAATGGCTGGTGTGCTGTTAGGTCTGAAGCAGCACTTGGCACATCTAATCTGCCCGCTCTGCTTCCAGGCAACTGGGAAAGGTGCTGCAGACATCCCTGAGAACATGGAAAAGGTCTGGGACAACTGGAGGCTGCTGACAATGGCAGGGATCTTTGACTGCTGGGAGCCCCCAGAGGGAGAACTCCTGTATTCCTACAGCATCATCACAGTGGATTCCTGCAGAGGCTTGAGTGACATCCATCACAGGCAAGTCAGTTTTTTCCTAGGGAGAGTTTGCCCTGGTTTTAGAGAACAGGAGATAAACCTGTGCAAACTACAGTTAGAATTAATTTGCCTAAAGCATGATACAGGTATATATAGGTATACCAACATGCTTGCAATATTATGTAATGAAATCCTTTTGGATTTCAGAGATTCTAAAATATATTTAAGAGTTGGTGGTGTCATTCATGGTTAAACATGTGCACAGGATGTCCATGGACATACTAGGCCAGTGCTGTACCACTGAGCTATATGCCCAACCCACTGCTTTCTAAAGTACATGCTAATCTGTTGAAGTTACAGTATTTGCCTGTTAGTGTAATGTTTATGCATTTGTTTCCTAAAATAAGTTGTTCCAATAATGAGTAAAATGTGAGCCTGGGATACAAAACTGGAAGCTACTTCAAGGGGACAATAAGGTTAAGAAGAAACACTTATGGGCTGGGCGTGGAGGCACATGCCTTTAATCCCAGCACTCAGGAGGCAGAGGCAGGCAGATCTCTGTGAATTCGAGGCCAGCCTGGTCTCCATGGTGAATCCAGGACAGTTGGGGCTACAGGGAAACCCTGTCTCAAAAAAACAAAAAAAAAAAAAAAGAAGAAACACTTAAAAACCATAAGTGCTGGGGCTGGAGAGGAGTTGGCTCAGCGGTTAAGAGCACTGACTGCTTTTGCAGAGGACCTGGGTTCGATTCCCAGCACCCACATGGCGGCTACGAACCTTCCTTAACTCCAGTTCCAGGGGAATATGAAACCCTCTTCTGACACTCACATACATGCAGCCAATACACTCATACCCATAAAATAAAAATAATAAAAATTAAAAAAAATAAAAAACTGTCAGTGCCAGTCATGGTAGCACAGGTCTATAATCCTATCATTTGGGAGGCAGGGGCAGGAAGATTGCCCAAAATTCAAGGCCAGTTAATGCTGCATAGCAAGACCCTGTCTCAAACATTACAGAAAAACAAAAACTACCAATGAATATTTATTTATTTATTTATTTATTTATTTATTTGTCTTTTTGAGACAGGGTCTCCCTGTAGCCCCAGCTGACCTGAATGCGCTATGTGGACCAGGCTGGGCTTGAACTCAAAGAGATCCACCTACCTCTGCCTCCTGAGTGCTGGGATTAAAGGCATGCACCACCACGCCCAGCTACATTTTTTTAAATAACATCTGGTCCTGGGGAGAAAATGTACATGTGATCAAATGAATAGCCTCCTGTATCACTGCTAGAATTTCTTGAGTGCCATTTTCACCTGTATTTATTGCTTTTTCTTGCTGCAGAAACCTTTGAAAATGCAGCTGTGTTTGAGACCAGAAACCAGGCACTCCTAGGACTAAAAGGAAGTAAAAGTTGTTACATGTAGTGCTTTCTGTTTGAGAAAGGTTCTAGCACTTTATTTACTTACTTGTTTGACTTTTAGTTCACATGGTAAAGAATCTATCACATCCGGCTCCTGGTGCACATTCACAGTAGTCCCTTGTATGTTAGGGGAGTGGAAAGGAAATGTCTCAGGTGGCCCAGGCTGGCTATCAACTCACTTACATAGGCCTGGTGGGCCTTGAACTGATCCTCCTGCCTCTACCTGCCAAGTGCTGGGATTGCAGAAGTATGCTGCAGCATTCATAATACTTTTTGAAGCTATTCTGGAAGTAGACTTTTTTATTTTTATCTGTATGAGTGTCTTTCCTTCATGTATGGAAGTGTACCATGTTTGTGAAATGCCCACAGTGGTCAGAAGAGGGCGTTAGATGCCCTGAAGTTACAGACCATTGTTAGCTACCATGTGGGTGCTGGGAACTGAATGTAGGTCCTCTGTGAGAGCAGCCAGTGCTCTTAACCTCTGAGCCATCTCTCCATCCCTGTGGATGTCTATTTCTGTAACTTTGTCTCTCATGTGGTATCCCTCACATCTGTTGCCTTGGAGATAATCACATTCTCATTTTTATTCCAAAATGATTATTTCCAGCTTCTCAATATTTAAAATATTTCCATTTGTCTGCACCACCTAATGTGTTTGAACCAAGAAGCCTAGCCATGTTTGAGATGTTAAATGAGTGTTTTCAATTATAGAAAAATTAACAAATGCAAAAGAATAGCAATATACAGCTTAAATATGTGGTGAACCAAGGTAGCTCTTGGGGTCTGAGGGGTGCGCATGTTTTGAACTGAGGGCAGTTTTCTGTGTTCATCTTATTTCTCTCACAGAGGACATTGTGTAAGTAAATGCAAAATGTGCACTGTCATCACATCATACACATTGAGAACAGATCAGCAGTTTAAAAACAAGTTGTAGGGACTAGAGAGATGACTCAGTGGTTAAGAGCACTGGTTGCTGTTGCAGAGGACCTGGGTTCTGTTCCCAGCACCTACATGGCAGCTAACAACTGTCCCTAACTCCAGTTCCAGGGGATCTGACGCACTCGTCTGACCTCCATGGGCATTACATACCCTGGTGCACTTACATACATGCAAGCAAAACACTCATACACATAAATAAAAAATTTTATATTTTTATTTTCTTTTTAAAATTTTTTCATATACATAAAAATAAATCAATCAAAAAAATTGGGGGTCTGGAGAGATGGCTCAGCAGTTAAGAGTACACTGGCTGCTCTTGCAGAAGACCTGCATTCGAATCCCACATGGCAGCTAACAACCATCCATAATTCCAGTTCCAGGGGATCTGACGCCCTCTTCTGTCCTCTGAGGGCTTTGTATGACATGGGTGCACTTCCATACATTTAGGCAATACACTCATACACGTAAAAATAAATAAAAATGTATTTTATGTGTATGAGTGCTTTGCCTGCATGTATGTAATGTGTGCCCATGTTGTGCAGTGCCTGTGGAAGCCAGAAGAAGGAGTTGTATACCCCAGAACTGGAGTTAAGGACAGTTGTTAGCTGCCATATGGGTGCTGGGAACCAAACCCTAGTCCTCTGTAAGAGTAGCCAGTGCTCTTAACTGCTAAGCCATCTCTCCAGCCCCAAATTAAAATTTTTTAAAAAATAAAATAAACACAGCTGGGCATAGTGGTGCACACCTTTAATCCCAGCACTCGGGAGGCAGAGGCTGGCCAATCACTGTGAGTTCATGGCCAGCCTGGTCTACATAGTTCCAGGCCAGCTGGGGCTACAGAGAGATCCTGTCTCGAATAAGACCAAAAATATAGCCGGGCATGGTGGCACATGCCATTAATCCCAGCACTTGGGAGGGAGAAGCAGGCAGATCTCTGAGTTCGAGGCCAGCCTGGTCTACATAGTGAGTTCCAAGACAGTGAAGCTACAGGAAAACCCTGTCTCAAAAAAAAAAAAAAAAAAAAAAAAGACCAAAAATAAATACCTGTCCTAAACTGCATGTGTGAAAACATGTTTTCATGTGAGAGTAGTTCTGTTTGCCAAATAACGTTAAATTTGTGTATTTCATCTGATCTAAAACAGCACTGACATAAAAATGGACAATTATTTTGTATATTGTTTAAGAAAGATAAAATGGGGCTGGAGAGATGGCTCAGTGGTTAAAAGCACTGACTGCTCTTGCAGAGGACCCGGGTTCAATTCCCAGCACCCACATGGTGGCTATGAACCGTCCTTAACTTCAGTTCCAGGGGAATCCGAAGCCCTCTTCCAACCTCCGCGGCATTGCATGACACGGGTGCACTCACATACATACAGGCATTACACTCATGCACATAAAATAAAAATAATAAAATATTTTTTAAAATGCAGGGCCTGGAGAGATGGCTCAGGGGTGAAGAGCATTTGATGCTCTTTCAGAGAACCCAAGTTCAATTCCCAGCACTCACTGGGAAGCTCCCATCCATCTGTTACTCAGCTCCAGGGGTTCCTACATGCCCTCTGCCCTCTGCAGGCACCTGCACACATGTGAGAGACACATGTACATACATACAAATAAAAATAAAATGTACTAAGTGTAATACAGCAGAAGAAACTATTAATCATCAGTGCATCCAGATCTCAGAGATTTTCAAAGTCTTTTGTTTTCTCCCTTCTCTCGTTTTTTGAGGCAGAGACGTACTCTGTTTGACTGGGAACTCACTATGTAGCCCAGGCTGGCCCAAAACTCATGGACATCCTTCTGCTTTATCCTTTCGAGTGCTGAGATTATAGATACATGCCACCATGCCTGTTGCTTTCTTTTAAATGTTTATTTTTTTATTTTTATGTGTATGAGTGTATTGCCTGCATGTATGTAAGTGCACCCCGTGTTGTGCAGTGCCCACGGAGGTCAGAAGAGGGTATCGGATTCCCATAGAGTTGGAGTTATGGACAGTTATTAGCCACCATGTGGGCACTGGGAACTGAACTTGGGTCCTCTGCAAGAGCAGCCAGTGCACTTAACTACTGAGCATCTCTCTAGCCCCTGTCTTTTTCCTCTTTTAAAGAAATGGGTCTATGCCAGGCATGGTGGCACACACCTTTAATCCCAGCACTCGGGAGGCAGAGGCAGGCAGATCTCTGTGAGTTCAAGGCCAGCCTGGTCTACATAGTGAGTTCCAGGACAGCTGGGGCTACAGGGAGACCCTGTCTCAAAAAGACAGAAAAAAAGAAATGTGTCTAACCTGGTGTGGTGATATCATTCTTATAACCCAACACTCAGGAAGTAAAGGGAAAGACAGGAGAATTGTGAGTTTGAGACCAGCCTGGGCTATAGGAAGACTGTCTCAAAAACAGAACAAAACAAAAGGGTGGGGTGTTGCCCAGGCTGGCTTGATCTCCTGGGATCAAGTGATCTCCTACCTTAGCCTCATGTGTTAAGATTTCAGGCACAGTTCAGTGCAAGTCTTTCACTGGTGATGTCTAGAGATTATTGTTGACAAACTTTTCCAGGCTCTAACTAATTCTAGTCTGGGGCATGATGGACAGTTTGCCGGCTTTCTAGGGAGTGTACTGGCATGGACTAGACTAGATCCAGTCTTAGTGCTCTTACTGTATGTGCCATGAAATTTCATAATTTGGCTAAGTGTTGAACCCAATGTGGCCTATCAGGTTGTGTCAGGGAACATCGTGCCAAGTCAGTTTGAGAGGTCATAGTGCTAGCCAGGGTCTCCTGTGATGTCTGAGCTATCAGTTGACTCTGTTTCATTTCTTTCCCTTCTCTCATCTACCTCTCCCATCCAATGCCAGGATGCCTGCCATACTAGATGGAGAGGAGGCAGTCTCCAAATGGCTTGACTTTGGTGAAGTCTCTACTCAGGAAGCTCTGAAGTTAATTCACCCCACAGAGAATATCACCTTCCATCCTGTCTCCTCTGTGGTAAACAACTCCCGAAACAACACTCCTGAATGTCTGACTCCTGCTGACTTTGTGGTTAAAAAGGTAGGGAACTATGACTAGTTAGCCCTTTCTGAGTGTTGTGCTGTTTTAAAGTATGTCTTTTCACAAAATTATTTTTTAAATTGGGTCTCACTATGCAGCCCTGGCTGGCCTGGAACTTACTATGTAAACCAGACTGGCTTCAAGCTCACAGAGATCTGCTTCCCTCTGGCTCCTGAGTGCTGGGTTTAAAGGCATGAGCCACCACACGTGACTTTTTTTAAAAAATGTATTTATATGTATATATGTTTGTGTATAGGTTTGTTCATGTGAGTATAATGACTTCAGAGGCCAGAAAAGGGTGTCAGGTCCCATGAAGCTAGAGTTACAAGTGGCTCTAAGCTGACTGATGTGAGGGCTGGGAACCAAACTCAGGCCCTCTGTAAAAATAGCATGTGTTCTTAACTACTGAGCCATCTCTCCAGCTCCCTCTTTTTTTGTTTGCTTGGCTTTGGGTTTTGGTTTTTGTTTTTTTGACACAGGGTCCCCGGTAGCCTCAGCTGACCTGGAACTTGCTATGTAGTTTGAGGCTGGCCTCAAACTCAGAGATCTGCTTGCTCCTGCCTCCCAAGTGCTGGGATTATAAGTGCATTGCCACTTAAAATTTTTGACTGTCAGGGCAGAGTTTGCGTTTCTGTGTTATTAATTAAGATTTCCTTTGCTGAGTCTGACTTTCCAAAGTACTCCTGATCTAGAGGGTAGATGTGAAAAAAGCTTTTCTCACCATTCCCAGCTATGACTCTCTTTTCTTAACGCGTGCGTGCGTGCGTGCGTGTGTGTGTGTGTGTGTAAGTGCACATGTATATACAGGTGTGTGCATGTGTGCACACGTGCATGGAAGCTAGAGGACAACTTTGGATATTATCATCTTCAGGAACATTGTCCATCTCCTCCGAGACAGTCTCATTGGCCTGGAACTCAACTATAACCGTTGAGCCAGGAATCCTCTGGTCTTTGCCTCCCCAGCTCTGGGGTGACAAGTACCTGCTCTTTATATGGGTGCTAGGGATTGAACTCAAGTCCTCATACTCAATGAGGTAAGCACCTACCCACTGAGCTGTCTCCCCAGCCTCCCAGCTATGACTCTTTTAATATTTTATTTATTTTTATTTTATATGTATGAGTGTATCGCCTGCATGTATGTGGGTGCACCTGTGTCGTGCAGTGCCGCAGAGGTCAGGCTTTGGATTCCCCTGGAACTGGCATTAAGGACAGTTTGTAGCCACCATGTGGGTGCTGGGAATCAAACTTGGGTCCTCTGCAAGAGCAGTCAATACTCTTAACCACTGAGCCATCTCTCCAGCCCGCCAGCTATGACTCTTTATGCACCTGGCTTCACAGCTACAAGTTGAAGGAGTTCCAGTCCTGTCTTCAAGCACCTGGGAGCATTCTTGCTATGAACTGTGACTTTCAGCATTAGTGGGGATTCAGAGGATAGGTTCTGGAGGAAAGTGAACCAGCAGAAGCCTGCAGTAGGGAGGGAAGTTCCACAGTAGAATGCTGGTCCCACCAGTATTTGGGAGTAGCTCTCACCTCTCCATGGTATGGAGGGACCAGGAGCGGGACATGCTTAGGACTCTCAGTGCAGGAACATACCACAGAGGGTTGTTGAACAGCTGTCCTCCATGTCCCCCAAGTGCTTTTATTTTTCTTACTGATAGTCACCGTCATCTTTTTTCTTTTGTCTCTTTTCTCTGAAATCTCCTGCAACCCTGACACTGCTTTTTTCCCTAAAAATGTAATTATGGGGCCACTGAAGTGGCTTAGCAGGTCAAGGCACTTGCTACCAAGCCTAACAACCTGAGTTCAATCCCTAGAATCCATATGGTGGAAGGAGAGAGATGACTCCTGAGATGACTCAGAGGTTGTCCTCTGACCACAAATGTATCATGGCATATGCACACCCCTACACACATGTACGTACACAATAAATGTTAAAAACATTTTTATTTAGTTACAATCTTTATCTTGCTCTCAACAGTACCCCATTTCTATTGTGGTCTTCACTCTGCTTCATGCTAATAGAAAGCCTCTCATTTCAGGACTGGGTAGGGGTATACAGACAGCAGAGGAAGTAGTTACCGCCAAGACACAGAGAGGGGAAGCCACTGTCTTGAATCCTGACCATCAGTGTTAGAAGCTTGTACTTCTCCAGCTTCCAGCACTCACCCCAGTCATATTGGGTCACTGTGTTTCTCTGAAGGCACTTCATTCCCTGCTTGTTTGAAAGGCTTTCCAGCTCTAGCCTGACTATTGTCCTCTAACCTCTAAATACTCCTTCCCTACCCTGGGAGCACTGACTGTCCCCTTCCTACTCTGGGCCCAGTAACACTGGGCAAGCCTAGGTCAGGGAACCAGGGCTCCTGTCTCTTCCTGTCACCTCCCCTTGAGTTGGTGTTTCCTCAGCAAGCTCAAACCTTGGTGCTATGAGATTTCTCTCTCTCATAGGAGCCCAAGACAAGTGGCAGTAGTCAAAGGATGATGCAATGGCTGGCTACAAAGTCACCCAAAAAGGAAGTCCCTGAAACACCCCAAAAGGATGAACCAGATGTGCCCCAGTGGTCTAGCCAGTTTCTACAGAAGAGCCCACTACCCACTAAAAGAGGTGCCACCAGCAACCTCTTGGAGCGATGGCTGAAGCAGGAGAAAGAGGAGGAACCACTGACCAAGCGGCCTCACAGCTAGTTACAAATTACCAAAGTCCAGGCCACAGTTGTGTCCATTTGCTTGGGGAGCCTGCAACACAATGTTAGCTGAGGGTTGTGGGCTTATGAAGAATCGTGCCTGTCATGGGACAGCCTGGGAAGACAAGGGCTTGCGGCTATCCAGCCCTGTGTGCTCTGTGGAGGCATGTCTGCTATGACTAGTGTCTCAGCCTCCCAGGAGGCTCTTCTCAGTCTTTGGCCTCTTTCTGCCTTTTACAATTAAGGTCTTTAAATATATTTTTGTTCTGAATAAATTACATTTGATAAACCTCGGCTGGCAGTTCTGGCTCTTACCCAGTTTGTCCTGGCATCTGTTCTAAGGAATGGATTTTACCACAAAGGGGAACTGGGGTCTTCTAAGAGTCTATCAAAGGGTTTGGTGGAGGGCCCTTGGTTCAGGGTCTTGCTCTTAGTACTTGGAAGGCCTCTGAATCTTTAGCTGAAAGCCAGCTGAGTGATTCGAGAGTGGGGTACAGAGGCCTTCAAACCTGGTTTTTAGCAGCAGAGAACACCGGATCTAGGTAGAAGCCCCACACCCTGTGCACATTCCCAGTCTGTGGCGCTGTGCCCGGGAAGAGCCCTGGCTTGGGGGGGCTGCAGGCAGATGTGCAATCAGGGCTTCCCGGAAAGGAATCCCCACCTGATGCTGCCGGAGTCGCCTCTGTCATTTGCTCTGCGGAGGCCCTTGCCATTTCTTGGGCACCAAATCACTATAAGGAGCTGGGGGAAAGGGGATTGTCTGTCTCTCCTTGCAAATCAAATCTATGAAAGCAGGGGCATTTCCTGCCCCTAGTATTTGTGCGAGGGCCGTGCATTTAACCCTTGTATCAAGCCATTCTTCCAATACATGCTGCCAAAGCAACCACAGGTGCAAGTATTTGTTCAGTGAGTCTGGCACTTCCTCGTGCCGGCACTGCCGAGTATCTGGGAGCACACCTTAGTACTACCCACTAGAAAGTGCCCCAGCGAAGCCTCTTCCCAAAGCTCCCAGAGAAGGTGCAGGCCAGGGCAGCCAGCCGGGGCGGCTCAAGAAGGGACCACGATGGTATCTAGTTAGGAGCATCAGGGCCAGGGCCCAGCCACGCAGGAGCGCAGGGCGGCAGCCGCGGCTGGGTGAGATCCCGTCGTGCCGGCAACGCTGGCCTCAGGCCCTATGCAAATTAGGGATCGGGATTTCCACCAATCCGAGGGAGGCACCAAGCCTGTGCCGCTCTAAGCTAGTGGGCGAGCACCACCGCGAGGCGGGGCGGGGCGGAGCGGGCCGGTCCTGCTGGGCCGGGCGCGGCGTGCTGAGCCGACCCCACCACCGCCCAGCCCCACCACCCTGGCGGGCCCAGGCCGCCCTTTTGCTTTCCCCTAGAGCAAGCTGCAGAGGGGGTGGGCAGGCCCTGGAGGTCAGAGTTCGGGCATCCTGTGCTTCCTTTGTGCCCTCTGGTTTAGGGAGTGTGTGGGGTTTCTTTTGTTGAGGTTTTTTTGTTTGGGGGCTTTTTTAGAATTCAGATTAGAATGTTCACTGAATGATGGTTTTCATATTTGCATTGTAATGAGTTCCTTTTGTTTTTATCACTATGTCCCCGCATTCCTTTGGTAGGGACTTTTTAACAGAAAAGAAACCAGTGCATGGTGAGGCTGGAGAGATGACTGGGCTGTTAAGAGAACTGGATGCTCTTGCAAAAGACCCAGGTTCAGTTCCCAGCAACTATACAGTAGCTCACCCCTGTATCTCCACCCAGTGGTTAACTCCAGTTCCAAGAGATCTGGCACCTTCTTCTGGCCTCGTAGGCCATTGCTTGCATGTGGTTCACTTGCATACAAGCAAACAAGACGCTGATACAATTTGCTTTAATCCTTAAAAAAACTAATACAATGCAGAAGAGGCTGTCAGATCCCCTGGAACTGGAGTTACGGACAGTTGTTTGCTGTCATGTGGGTGCTGGGATTCAAACCCGGATCTTCTGCAAGAACAGTAACCGCTGAGCCATCTCTCCAGCCCCTATCCTTTGTTTTCAATCAAATCTCAGAGACCAAGCAAGGAAGACTGACCTGCCTGTCAATGTGGCATGAGTAGCCTGTGCCCAGCCTTCTCTTGAGCAGGAGGGCACCCAACACCTCCAGCGGTGACCAGGGTATGACATCTGACCTTAAGAGATACCTTCCTTCACTCTAGCCATGGCTCTCCCATGGCAGAATGCCCAGCATGCCTGATAGTGACACAATGCCTCACCTCAATCCTGGCTTGATCCCGTGCCTCAGGTAAAGCTGTCTGCTATGCATTGAGGCAGAAACAGGCCAAAGGAAGGAAGGAGCTTGGTCCCAGCACACAGCTTAGCACTGGTAGGTTCAGGAAAAATCCAGGGGGCTCCTGGCATGGAAGGAGTATCTCAGCTCGGAGAATCTGGAGATGCTACTTGTGACTGGGAAGGTCTAGAAGGCAGGTGCTGTGGTGAGAACACTGGACTCCCAGAGGTCTACTGGGCCTGAAGGAGTTAAAGATGAGCCATCTAAAAATATTCTGAGATACTGTATTGATTATCGAAGCTGAAATCATTTGAGGAACTGTAATTTCAGAAAAGGCCATTTAGTCTGTCATTTCTTATATGCAGCAAGACAAAGATTCTTTTGGGAAGGCATCCTCTAAATTCCTAGGCCAGAAAACAGACTTTGACCACAACAGCCTGAGAACTGGGATTGCAGTGGTCTTGGATACTTTTTGAAAGAATCCTGGTTTCCCATGAACTTCTACACCCTCTCCCACAGGTATTCTCATAATATCCAAGAATTGACTGCTGCAGCCAAGATACCTGCTGTTTTGTTACAGATTTGCTCTTTGCTTGCCATGAAAGCACCATGTGTTCAGACTTCACTCTTGTAAAGTATGTGTAAACTTAATAAAACTGCTTTTCTTTTTGTTGTTGATTTTGTTTCGTTTTGTTTTTGAGACAGGGCCTCACTAGGTAGCCCTGGCTGGCCTGGAACTTGATATATAGATCAGGCTGGCTTTGAACTCACAGAGATTTGCCTGCCTCTGCCTCTACCTCCAAATGCTGTGATTAAAGGCATTCACTACCATGCCCAGCTGCTTTTCTGTTTAATCAGCTCTTGCACCAAGTTCCTAGAACCTGCCAACATATGAGATTAGCAGGAGTAGTGCTCTCCCCTACAGCTTGCACACCCCTTCTCTGCTAAGAGTACAGAGCAACAGTGGTTAAGGACACTGGCTTTTCTTCTTGCAGAAGACCTGGGTTTGAATCCCAGCACCCACATGGCAGCTAACTGTAACTCCACTCCCAAGGGATCTGACAGCCTCTTCTGACCTCCGCAGGCATTGTACTTACCTATATGCAGGCAGTACACGCATACACATAAAAATAAATTTTTTAAAAGTTTTTTTTTGAAAAAAGTATGCAGCAAATAGAAGATCTGCTTTAATTTAGCTGGGTGTGGTGGTGCACACCTTTAATCCCAGCATTCAGGAGGCAGAGGTAGGCAGATCTGAGTTCAAGATCAGCCTGGTCTACATAGCCAGTTCCAGGTCAGCTAGAGCTACCCGGATACCCTGTCTCAAAGCGGGAGGGTGGGGCAGAGCTGGAATTTCATCCCCTGGAAAGAGCAGCTTTGCTTAGTACTTGAAAAGCCTTTGCTAAGTCCTTGCCTTTTCTGGGATTCAGTTTGACCTTGTGAGCCACAAGGAGAGAGGATGAGTACTCACAACCAAGCTCTCAGCTCCAGAAGAGCAGGTGCTGGCTCTTGAAAGAGACCCAGGACCTACCTACCTCAATGTGGAGGTAAGGACTTCTTGCAGCCAGCACTCCAGAGCAGAGAGGCATGTGCAGGCTGTGTGGGCAATATTCTCAGTGAGCAGCAGGAGCTGGAGGACTGTTTGGAGAAGCAGTGAGCCACCAAAGTCAACAACAAAGGCAGTGGGACGAGGCAGCCAGGTTGGATGGAGCTGAAGTGATCAAGAAAAGGGACAGCTGGTGTCATAAATGCAGCACACAAGGCAAACTCTTGGATCCTCATGAGCACTCTATATGGAGAAGCTGTAACTGTGGTGCACACGCTCAGCACCCACAGCCTAGGTCTGTGGCTATCTCTCACTGGTAGCTCCTTCAGGATATTGCCCTTGGGAGTTTCTTTTTTTATTTTCAGATCACATTTATTTCCTGTGTATGTGTCTGCGTTGTACGTGCACACATGCTTTGCTAAAATGTGCATGTGAAGGTTAGAGGACAACCCCAGGGAGTTGGTGCTTTCCTTCCACCATGTGGGTTCTAGGGATGGAACTCAGGTGTCAGGCTTTGTGGCAACCACCTTTATCCAGTAAGCAATCTTGCTGACCTACTTCTTGTGTGTTGAAGAGTTCAGAAAAGATCCTAGATCAGCATGAGAGACCTCAAAACTGGGGGACTGCAGGCCACATCAGCTCATACTATTTGGCCCATATAGTGTTTTTGTTAACATTTTATTTTTATTTTATGTGGATGAGTGTAATGCCTGCATGTAGGTAGGTGCACCTGTGTCATGCAATGCCTGCAGAGGTCAGAAGAGGGCGTCGGATCCCCTGGAACTGGACAGCCATATGGGTGCTGGGAATCGGGTCTTCTGCAAGAACAGGGGCTGAGCTGTTTCTCCAGCACTCATATAGTGTTTTGTAATAAGTACTCCTGAAATTTGCCATTTACTCATTTTAAGCTCAAGGCCAGTCATGTTTGCATTGTTGTGTAGTCAGAACGGTCAACTTGTTTTGAAACAGGGCTCACTATATAGTCATGGCTGACCTGGAACTCTCTATGGAGACCACATTGGCAACTCTCTGCCTTTGCCTCCTGAGTACTGAGATCACAGGTATACCGTACCATGCTCAGCTCTCTGGAACTTATGTTTTTCAGAATTGAAACTCTACCCACTAATCAGCTCCCTATTTCCCTCTCTTCCGCACTTGATAGCCACCATCATCCCACTTTGTCTCTGAATATGACTACTGTAGATATTTCCTACATGTGTAATCATATAGTGTGTTTGTGTCTGGTTTAGTTCACTCAACATCCTCAAGATCTGTCTTTGTGGCAACCTGTATTAGAACTTCCTTAAGTCTCAATAATATTCCATTGGATGGATACACCCCATTTTCATTGTGCACTTATCTGCCAGTGGACACTTGAGTTGCTTCCACTTCTTGACTACTGGGGATAATGCTGTCGTGAACATGAATATAAAAATAAGCGCTTTCCATTCTTTGGGTATATATTCAGAAGTAGAATTGCTGAATTGCA